TCTCCTCCCCTCTCCCTCTCTTTTTTCTTTTTTGGTATTTTTCAGACAGGGTCTCCCTTTAGCCCCAGTTGGCCTGCAACTCACAATGTAGACCAGGCTGGCCTTGAACTCAGAGATCAGCCTTCCTCTGCCTCCCGAGTGCTGGGATTAAAGGCGTGTGCTACCACACCTGGCTCTTTCTTGATTTTTATGTTCTTAATACTGCTGCTTAAACTGTCCCCTCTTTGGCCAGTAAGCCTACTCAAGGTGCCGCTTAGATCCTTATTGACACATTCCCATCATATTTCTGTCAGAAGACTTTCTAATCACCATACAATTTCCCCAGGATGGGGCTTTTACACAGTGGTAGAATGCCTGCTTAATATGAACAAGGTCTTGAGCTGGAGACCAGTATCATAAAACCAAACCCCAAACAAGCAAACAAACAAACAAACAAACAAACAAACTCCCCCAATCCCTATAAAAATTTTCTATTTTCTTTGGCTTAACCCTGAAATCAACATTTCTCTTGGAAAAAAAAAAAAAAAAAAGAGGCTCTTTCTGTTGGATTCTATCTCCTGCAGGTGGTTTTATTGGTTTTCAGTTTTCAGTTCCTATGCTTCTATTTTCACAATTTAGGCACCACCTACATATGTAGTTCTCATTCACCTTTACCCTCAAAGGAGCATGCTACACATGCTTTAATAGCTCAATTTCTCTACTTATTGAACAACACACCCTGGAAATCACTATTCTTAAGTCCATAACAAATTTCTTCCTATTTCTGTAGAAACTATATAATAATGCATTTTGTAGCAGCCATGTATTAATCTCCTATATATAGGTAATGTCTTCAAGTTGTATTTTTATAAATGTGGAATGAACAAGTCAAAAGGCAAACGCCACTGGAGAGACAGCTCATGCATGCAAGCATGAGGGCCTGATTTCAATTCCCAGGACCAATGTAAAAAAGCCAGGCTTAGTGGTGCTTTCTTGTGGTCCCAGTGCTAGAGGCAGACAGGAAGAGATCCCTGGGGCTTACTGGCCAGCCAGCCTAGCCTGCTTGGCAAGCTCCAGGTGAGTGAGAGACCCTGTCTCAAAAAAAAAAAAACGTGGGAAGACAAGAAAAAACAAAAAACAAAGAAACAAAAAGCCACCGAGGTGAAGAACATTCAAAGTTGACTTCTGGTCTCTAAATGTAAGCATACACACACTTGCATACACATGTGCATATATACATACACAAAAAGGCACTCGTACCACACACATACACAAACGTAAACACATAGGAACTGGGGCTGTGGCTCAGTGGTATAGCACTTGCCTACCATGTGTAAAGCCCTGGATTTGATCTCCATCACCACAACAAAAGTTCCAAGGGAAGCATACAAAGTTTTGTTGAGCTCCTGTCAAATTCCTCCCACAGGGCCAGATCAACTTTGCATTTACACTAGTAATGTGTGAGGGTGCCTACCTCCCATGGTTTTCAAACAGACTGTTTCGTTAAAGTTTTGAATTTTTTGTTGATCTAGTAAGTGATATAGGAACTAACGAAACTTGAAATATTAGCGGACTTATGTGGAACAGGATATTCAAGTCCTCATGAAGTTTTACCCCTCAGAGCATTTACCTCTACAATGGATAAATCTGAGTGCTGTGAACAAGGTGCGCAGTACCAAGACTGAGATAAGCCTTCACCCTGTTCTGTACAGTAGATACAAAAGCTGCCTTTGTAGTATGCCTGTCAAAAGTTGCTAACCTCAATTAAAACACGAGAAAGACAAATCCATATTGAAGTCCTGTTTAAGCTGAGTCTACCTGAGCTGCAATTATTTATTCTGAGACACTTCCAAGAGGTGTTTGCTCTTGCTGCCATTAATTGCAATATATTTAGCTGTTCTTCGCTAACAATTCATAAATCTACATTCTGTTAAGACACTAGAGATAAAGAAATTTTGGAAGTTAGTAGTATTTCTCTCCTATCGATAGAAAAAATAAATATAAGTTCTGCAAAGAGCTAATTTGCATCCTTGAAATCTTGGGACATCCACAATCGTTGAATAAAGTTCTGTTAAGTGGGAAAGATGATGGAAGAACACAGAGTTATGCAGTTTGCAGGCATGTTCTTAGAACAGATTATAAATAATAATACTCACCAATAGTTCTTTACCTGTACACTAAAAACAGGTGTATGTGAAATGTTTGGGTATTCCCAGCATACGACAGGGTTCAAGTTATAAGATGTAATTAGAACACTGGTTGGTGCAGGCACTGTAAGGATTCAAAAATAAAATAGACAACAGTAAGAAATTGACATCAGCAATAGAAAACCTTATGAGTTGTCATGTGACAAGTATGCACATTTGAAAAGTCAAAATCATTAGAACAGATTCTAAAATCATTTCAATTAAGAGCAAATTCCTAGAAACTCATTTTATTGAAAAGGTACAGAAGAGTTCTGATTCAATTTAAATTATGTAAACTTCAATGAGATATAAAGTGTGATATATAGTTCATCTTCCTTGCCAACCTGAATGGATTTAGAATCACCTAGGAGATGCACCTTGGTATGTGTCTGTGAAGGTGATTTCCAGAGGTTTCAGTGAGGAGAGGAGACCCACCCTAGATGTAGAAGTCTTATGGACTGGGATGGAAGGGGAGAGGAGAAAGCAGTTGAGCACCAGCGTTCACTCTTCTCTGCTTCCTGTCTCTGAACACAATGTGACTAGCCAACTCTTACTCTGTACTGCCCTGCCTTCCCCACAGGATGAGCTGCATCCCTCAAACTATGAGCCAAAACAAACCCACCCTTCCTTTCATTTGTTAAAATATTTTATTATTTTTATTTTATGTGTATGAGTGTTATGCCTGCATGTGAGTGTACCTGTATCGTGCAATGCCCATGGAGGACAAAAGAGGCTGTCGGATCCCCTGGAACTGGAGTTATGGACAGTTGTTAGCTGCCATGTGGGTGCTGGGATTCGAACCTGGGTCTTCTGCAAGAACAGTCAGTATTCTTAACTGCTGAGCCATCTCTCCGGCCCCCTCTCCCCCTTCTTAAGTTGCTGTTGTCAGGTATTTTGTCACAGCAACAGGAAAAGTAACTAGTAGATAAGGGAAACACAGTTGCAACATAAGACACAATATTTTAGGGGTTTCTGTAAACACACAGCCTGCTGTAATAAGAGTCCTTTATTCACTTAATCATAACCACTACAGTTTTCAATATTTGCTAGCACAGACTGTGATCGATGTCTAGAGAAGAGCTGGTCACACCAGGGATCACCATTCTCACTGACATACCTTCAGGTTCTCAATAACACATTATTACACCTTCCTAGTTTTTCTACATAGCACATGAAAAGCTGCCTCATCATGGCTGAAGCACTCACTGTTCATCTCAATTTTATCAACGCAGTGCTTTCTAGGATGTGTCTTTACTCATTTATGCACTTCTGAAAATATCTGTTAGTAAGACTCACAAGAGTCAAATGAGAGAACAGGCAGATGAATATAGATGTAAAGATGGTGATGTGACTCAAAATTTAAGGTTATTCCTTCTTATCTGGCTGACAGGATTTACTTGTAAAATTAAAACACATACATGAGCCAGGAATAAGTTCATGCTGATATTTTTCAAGGCACTCTGGATACTAATAATCCTCACTTGGACTGCTCTAATTAAAAATAGACCTTGGACCAATCATTAAGAAACCCGATTCTTTCCTGGTTACACTGATAAATGCTGACTCTGAATTTTACCTTCTATCGAGAGAGTCATTATGGTGGTTAGTTTCAGTCATCAACCTGACACCATCTAGAATTATTTGGGAAGAGCATCTCAATGAGGGATCATGTATATAAGGTTGGCTTGTGGACATTCTGAATTAAGTTGCGGTGGTTACAATGAGAATGACCCCCGCAGCTTTCAAGTTTTGAACACTTTGTCCCCAGTTGATGGTGCTGTTTTGTTCGGTTTAGGAGGTACAGCCTGACTGGCAGAAGCAAGACACTGGGCGGGTGGGGGAGGCTTTGAGAATTCTTAGCCTTGACCCATTTCCAGTTTCACCCTCTCTGTTTCCTGTGCCTGCTTGAAGATATGAGTGTTCAGCTTTCTGTTCTGGCTGCATCCTGCCATGTGTCCCCTGCCATGATGGACTTTTATACCTTTACTGTAAGCCCAATAAACTCTTTCTTCTATAAGTGGGCTTGGTCATGGTGCTTATTCATGGCAACAGGAAAATAACTACTATGTATATTAATCAATGTGGGAAAAAGAGGTCTAAAAGTAGGTGGCACATCCTTGGGTTTGGGAGCTGAGCAGTAGGCACGCATGTATTAATTCACTGCTCTCTTCTCTTGACTCTGGATGTGCTTTTACTAGCTGCTTCAAGTTCCGGCTGCCTTGACGTCTCCTCAGTGATGGACTGTAATCTGGAATTGTGAGCTAAAACAAACCCTTTCTCCACTCAACTGTTTTTGTCAGGGCATGCTATCATAGAACAGAAAAGAAACTAGAGCAGCCACTAATTTTATATATGCAAAATATTTGCTTGGAAACACCTACTAGATTTCTCACCTAAAATAAAAATTTTCATATTTAAGACCAAACTAGTCTACTGTTTTACTTTACAATGACTTAACATGTGCACATATTATCTTTTCAAAGCAGAACAGGATAAAGAGTCATCTAGGGAGAAGTACCTCAGGGACAGCATGCTTGCCTGGTATGAATGAGACTGTGGGTTCCAGCCTAATACCACCCCCCATCACTTAATGGAAAATTAATTCTAGCGCCATTTTTTTTTCCTGATAACTTCTTCCTTAAGGCAGTGGTTCACAACAGGAAGTGATTTCTGGCCCCCAGGGGACACTATGCAATATCTGCAGACATTCTGGGTTGTTTGGAGGAATTGGGAAAGAGTATATTACAGGCATCTGGAGGGTAGAGGCCAGGGATGCTGCTAAGTACCCAACAATGCACAGGACAGCCTGACAACAACTAGTCCAGGCCCAAAGGGCAAGAATAAAAAAGCCAAGTAACTGCTGAAATGGTCATAGTTGTGCTGTGTTTTTATTTAGGAGGGGAAATAAATTTTAAAATGCTTTATTATTACTATATATATATATATATATTTTTTTTTTTTGCTCTTTTTGAGACAGGGTTTCCCTGTAGCCCCAGCTGTCCTGGAACTCACTATGTAGACCAGGCTGGCCTTGAACTCACAGAGTGCTGGGATTAAAGGTGTGCGCCACCATGCCCAGCCCATTACTATATATTTTATGGTCTCCCAATAGTCTTGTTTTGCCAAAATAGCTAGCTTTCACATTATTTGCCAGAGTAGTGCAAAAATTTGTGCCAAAAGATTGAAATTACGAAGATGGGAGTTCACATACTTGGCAGGACTTAACTTGACCTTTCTGTGGCCATTAATCAGATAACTGCAAACTTTCTGCCATGGTTACAGAAACACTGCCGATGCCTGTGGGTCCCTCGGTATCCTATCATCTTTGGTTGATGACAACTTCCTTGAGGGCAAACCTAAAAGCAGTGGTCTTGTCTAATTTAGCCCCGGTTCTTTCCTGCTTTTGATTGTAGAAGTCTGCCCATGGCCATTCACAGCAAGGAAACCTGAAGCTTCTCAAGAGGGTATTGTTTTTAGATGGTATGTGTCCGCATGTCAACCTTCTGCAAGAGTCTAGTCTCAGTTAATAATCCAAGGCTTAATAAGAAATAAAAGCTACTTTTCTCTCCCTCAAGAACAATTAAACATTAACATCAAACAACAACTACACAATGAATCATAACTTTGCAACCAGACTAGAGAGACACTGCATGCAAAGAAAAACTATAATGAAAACCAGGTGTGGCCAGAGCCTGAAAATTGAAAACCATGGGTTCCTGGCTTCTTCCTCTACCTTCCTCTCCTCACTCCCTCTCTCAGTCCCTTTCCTTCTTCAGAATTTCTTACACATATATAATGTGTTTTGACCAAATCTACCCCAATCCCTCCAACTCCTTGCATACTCTTTACTACCACGTTTCCCTCCCAATTTTATATGCTCTTTTTAAAAACCCACTGAGTCCACCTAGCACCACCAGTATGTGCATGGGTGTAGGGCCATCCACCAGGAGCATGGGCAGCTGATCAGAGGTCACATCCCTGAAGAAAACTGACCCTCTCCCTTCCCCAGCAGCCATCAGCTTCTCAGCTATGAGTGGAACTTCATGAGCTCCTCTTCTACCCATGCTGGGATTTTGGCCTTTTAGAAAGAAAAAAAAATCTTACAATAAATCTAACCAAGTGAAAGGCCTGTACAATTAAAACTTTAAAACACTTAAGAAATTGAAGACACCAGTAGAAAGATCTCCCATGCTCATGGACTGATAGAATTAATATTATGAAAATGGCCATCCTACCAAATGCAATTTACAGATTCACTGTGCTCCCCATCAAAATTCCAACACAATTCTTCACAGAAATTAAAAAAAAAATTTCTTTAAATTTCTGTGGAAGCACAAAAGACTCAGGATAGTCCAAACAATCCTGAATCATGAAAACACTACTGGAGGAATCACCACTCCTGATTTCAAGTTATACTACAGAGCTATAGTAATAAAAACAGCATGCACTGGAATAACAACAGACACACTGTTAATGGAAAAGAATTGAGGACCCAGATATAAGCCCACTCTTCAACAACCACCTGATTTTGACAGAGACCAAAAATATACATTGGAGCTGGGCATGGTGGTGGCACATGCCTTTAATCCTAGCACTTGGGAGGCAGAGGTGGGTGAAGCTCTGTGAGATGAGGCCAGCCTGGCCTCCATAGCGAGTTCCGGGTCATCTGTGGGTACAAGGAGACCCTGTCTCACAAAGAACAAACAAACAAACAAACAAAAAACCTACTTGGAGAAAAGACAGCATTTTCAACAAATAGTGCTGGACAAACTGGATACCTACATGCAGAAGAAGGAATCTAGGTCTTTATCTCTCACCCTGCACAAAACTCAACGCCAAATGGATCAAGGACCTCAACATAAGACCCAATGCCCTGGTTTCTTTTTAGCAGTCTTGTCCATGGCTAATCTGTCTACATTCACATTTTTGATAAGAAGCAAGCAGCAACCAGGTGGCCCCTTCAACACCTTGCTTGGAAGCCTCCTGGGCTAATTACAGAGCTCATGGAGCACATCTTCTACTTCCATGTGGCTAAAAGAAACAGCCGCTAAGCCTTCTGCCTCCACATCACAAGGATCCATCTTC